GGTTGGGGGAATGGGGTGGAAGGGGTAATAGAGCTTGTTTTTCTAAATTCTGAGATCTCTATAAATATGAATTGGATAGGTGAGAGTATAAGGTACCTGGCATTTCACACATTAATAAGTTCTCAGTTTGTACATTCACAGTGCAGTAATGAACTCACTCAGCCAGATACAATCTCCATATATTATCCTGAAAGCCCCCATTATCTGAGTCAGCTGCCATTCGTAGCTCTGTATTGATACGACCAGCTCTCAGAGTTTAAGCACGAGTTGCCAAAAGAGACAGTAATAATGATGTGTGGTCACCTTGCAGTAAGGGCACGTCCCTGCTTGCATAGCAATGATGTTAGAGGGAAGCTGCCTCAGATGGATACATAACAAGCAGACGAGAGTCATAGAAAGTCATCTCCCTGGTGCACATAAAAAGGTGGAAATGTCTGGCTAGCTCAACTAATTAGTAATCAGAGAGCGCAGAGCTGGCTGGAGACCAAAATTATGAGATTTAGGGTAAAATAAAGTTTGCTTGACTTGTCCTGGTATTTACTAGGCGGTTCACTCCTGTCATTATCTTTGATTGTTTTGCTTCATGGTAAGGCCTGTTGTCTAACAAAAACACATGTTCTGAGCGGAAATTTTGATTTATGAGGAAACACTGCGGATGTTTTTTCTGTGAAAACACCTAAATACAGTTACATTGTCATGTTTGATCTGAACTGATTAAACATGTTTCCCTTAAAAAGTGGGTTAGGAGATGCTGCAATCAAATACATATGCTTTCTGTTCTTTCATCCAAAACCAGACTGTCGTCCAGCTAAGGCAGCATCCAGCTGTCACTGAGCGCCAAAACTACAGGAGCCAGAAAATTCACAGATTGACTGCATGTGTACTTTTAATAGGCAATTTGAAAGGGAAAATCAGTTGAATCAATAATTCATTGTTTAGTCAGTTGAGAGCAGGGAAACCATATTATCATCATTGAAGTTGATAATGACCATTTTATCCAGACATCTGTGTGTTTGAATACAGTAAATATTAAGCAGTATTCCAGTTCATCGTAAATATGTCTCTCAGGCCATGCTGAATGTAGGTCTGTAGTGTAAAGTCCTCTTAAGTCGTTGTCTCCACTGAATTTTTAGGAAGGTATCTGACTTTTTAACTGCTGTATGCACAAATTTGTTTGCCACCTGCTCACTAAGTTGCTATGCTTATTTGAGCAAACTCTTTCCTGTTGCATTGATCATTTCAAGTGTTTTAGAAATATTGATTATGGAGGCTGGAAGAAAGGTCTAGTTAATTTTTTGAGTCCACATTGCTTAGATTTTATAGGGTAGTAAGATCACATTCACTGAAAAATAAACCTGTTGACCACATATTAAGCTGACATGCAGAAAACCTAAGAACTGTTTTACCACTTGAGTATTGGTTGTTTTCTGGGTCTCTGGGGACGTAATGAAGCTGTCATGTGTACTCTGTAGTGCGCACTGCACTGAAAGGGAATTTGGAGGCCACAGGGCATGCAAGGTGTGCACAGAGGCATAAGTGAGGGTAGTCTCGGGTCAAAAGGAGCCCGACAGCAAATTTTTGTCTCACTGCCCCTTTGCTGCTTAATCTGGTCTTTAAATGGATCAGTTATTGTAGTTTTGTATTTTCGAATTAGCTTTTATTTTGTATTATTTTCAGTTAGTTTTCTGAGTGGATTTTCTTGTTTCAGATTAGTTTATAAAATGTTTACTTTTAGTTTTTAATTAGCATCAGAGTTTAAGTCTATTTTAACTGTTACTGTATAAAAGGGAATTATCAGAGGCAAGATTTAGGAAAATCTGTACAATTAAAAACAGAACTTTTTGAAAGCAGTTGACTCTTGTGGACATTCAGAGTCTCGATAAACATGTCCCTCAGTGTCATCAGGCAAGCTGTAATTAAAGTTTTACCAGACACTAAAGGATATTTCCTCTATATTTCTATTTTATTTTCGTTTTCAAAGTTCACAAAATCATTACAGTTAGTGTTAGTGTAGTGTTATTTTTTTTCATAATAGATATTTTTTTCATGTCTAGTTTTATTCTACTTTTTGTAAGCTATATTCACATGGGTGCACGTAAATATGTAGATCATGTCGATCTAGTAAAAACAAGCCAACATCTGCTTCAATGTCCACTTTGGCTGATGCCTCTATTTTCCTCGTTTACTCTGTCTTATATGGGAACTGACTTGATTCCACTGTACGATTATCAATGACTTGACTGTGTAATTTCTAAGACATGCACACTAATGATGCTGATAGCGATACCAGCAGCAGAGACGGGGATAACAGTGTTCGTTCTAACGGTATGGCTGGCAAAGCTGGAAGTGCTGATGGGTGCTGGCTGTCTAAAGCAGCCTGTTGCATGAGCCGACTGCAATGTAAACCCTGCAGCACATGTTCGACAAGCCAACGAAACATCTCGGGGAATATTTATTTTAACAGGCCAAATGATACTTCTATTTCTCTCAAGAGGAATGTTAAGGTTAAATGATTCCCCCTTAGAAAGAAAAACACTGGGATTGAACTAAAGGGGAGCTGAAGATGGAGAGATGGGGTAAAGGTTTCGCCTGAACTAGTTGCTTGGTTTTAGTTCAGATGAAGGAGTGCAAGATGGTGCAGTGTTGAAAAGGGATGTAATAAAAATGATAATAATAACAGAATTTCATGTATTCGTGTTTTGTGAAAGTATTTTCTCTGTTCATATTATAACACATTTAGTGCAACTGACCTGTTTGGGAAGTTATTTTGAAATGTAGTAGGTCACAAATCGCTAGACATAGCTTTAAAACACAAGACTATAAGTAATTCAGTCATGTGCCAAATGCATTCCTTGTAAGTAATAAAACAGGAAAGTTCTCTACAGGCTGAAGACGTTCCCTTAGGTTTGATCATTTTAGTAGCAGTACCAGCCACTTGCTGCAAATTATTGTAAATTGTTTCTGGTGATTAAGGACGCTGGAATGTATTTTATTCCATTCTTGGTCAATAGCGACTTCTTGGCTTTCAATATATTACCTCCCCTGCTGGTACTGCAGCTTCTGCATGCATGTCCTTTTCATGCTTTGGAGAGGCAAAGCGTGAAATGGACACGGTGGATGTCTGTTACACGTTTTTCCATGATATCGGGTGGAACTGTGACTAGGATAAAGCAACTAAAATAGTGCATATTGCATGAGAAAGGCAACTGGATGCATAGAAGGCTCAGGTGGGTGATTAGCAGATGTTTGAACACACACTCACAAAAACACTAATGCATTAAAGTTACATTTTCATTTTCTAATGTAATGTAACTCCACTTCTTGTCTAGGTATGTAACTAAAAGCAATTGACTGAAGAGTTAGTTACAACTTGTCTTGAGTTAAAATTTCAATAATTTCCAAGTATTATCAAAGTACTATTCAAATAGGTTACATTTCACAAACGTTTTAAGTAGACATTATCACTTAATAACTACTTGTACTCATCATATGTCAAGAGGTGTCCACACAGGAAGCAACAACCAGCAACATGGCAACCTCAGACTATAGAGAGCAATTAGGTCATCTTACCATTTACACATTTACACTGTCACAAGTGACGGTGAGGGAAACAAATGTCAGCAGCATGAAGTAGGCTAGTCATTTATGTTCAAACGTTAAACTTTTCTCAACTTCAAGGATTAAAGCACTTACCGGTGGCAATGAATAACATATGATTGACATATGACAGAGTGGAAAATACATCAGTGGGGTTATATAGTTGTCCCTGAAATTAAATACATATGCATTTAGTTGAGGAGTAATAAGGAACAGAATATTCATCTGACCTACCACTTTATATAACCTGGAATTTTTTCTAACTATTGTACAATCAACATCAGACTACTGATCTCCAAAAGTTGATTCTGTTGATCTGGACGTAGCGTTTTCAGTGGGAGAAACATTTCGTCACCCATCCAAGTGACTTCTTCAGTCTCAGCTGACTGCAGGTTTCCCCAATCTTATAAACAGCTCATTTGCATAATGACTGAAACCAGCCCACTGAAGGAACAATGGGCTAGGAGGTCAGTTCCTTCATCAAAATTATAACTTTCTTCTCATCCCAAAGCAACTGTGAAAAAGACATATTTTTCCACAGCAACACTAATGAGCACCTACATTTACAAAGCCACGATTTACACTTGACTTTAATTGTACGTGTTAAAAAAAAACAAACACTTAAGCATAAATACAGCTCCTGCGACTCCATGTGTAACCACTTCTTCGTAAACCTTTAGCACACAAGTATAAATTAGGTCAAAGTATTTAAAATTATCACAAAGCATGAATTTATGGGTAGCTCGTGAGAATAGATAGATAATAATAGTTAATAAACTTTAACATGGCTATTTTGCTCCTTTCGCCATCTCTCACCCTACCATGCACTTAATTCACATCACATTTCAACATACCTGCTGCAGCCAGCACCAGGCTCACTTTTAACACAAACCCTATTGTCAGAAGGACTATAAAACTATGAAGTCGAAAAAAGAATTACCTAAATAAATGTGAAAATATGTAGAGGGCTTGCAGTCATGAGAGGGCTTGTTGGGAAAGTGAATTATTTTAATGAAAAAGTCATTCCTGGGGAGAGGAAAAGGCCCGGCTGCGGGCTGTTTGTGCATGGCTTAAGTTTCTCTTCTGTAATAAAAGCACAAGGACTTATGTGTCCACATGTGTGTGCCGTGTGTGGGTGTACTGGGTTGAGCGTGGAATAAAGGAGACAAAGTAGACGGCCAGTTTCTTGAGACACACACACTCAAATAATTAATCTCAAAAACTGGCAGAAAAAAAAAAGCTATGTCTGGAGATAGCTTCATCCACTACACACGAATTGTAGCTTTTGGAACAGTTTGACTTGTGGACAAAACATAGAACGGCCACACAAAATATTGCTGCTTTTCTGGTCTTTATCTCTTCATGTTTTCATTGATGCAGTTATGTTTGTCTTCTGCTTCCAGACCCTGATGGATTAAGGCAGCAGGGGATGGAGCAGCCTGCCCAAGAAACCCTCCTACTACCTAAAGCTTGCTGAATTTGAACCTACAGTGAGCTGACAGGAACAAAGCAGAGTCAAAGATAATCTCCTTTTGTGCAGCCTTGTGACAGAACAGACTCTGTAAGGAGGAGGAAGAAAAGCAACTACGTTACACGTTGGACATCCCGTGAGGATCAAGAGCCTCAGGGTGGCCCGATCATGAAACCTTCCATCTCTGGGGGCTCCCCCTCTGGTCTTCTGCTGGTTCTAATGTGCTGCCCCCTCCTGGGCTTGGTCCATTCTGCCAGCAGCAGCAACAAGGCCAGCGATAACGGACACGCACACCTGGGAGATGCTGACCCAGACCGCTGCATGAGGCATCACTTTGTGGAGACCATCACACACCCAATTTATAAATGCAACTCCAAGGTAAATACACCTACCAACACACTAAAAGCCAACCTTTCATATGAAATCTAGATAGTTCTCAATGTTTGTTATGTGACTTTTACTTTGTTTGATGTATTAAATGTTTATTGTTGCCAGTGTTTAAATGGAGTGCAATATAACTTCAAAAATGAGACCATCCCAGAGTCTCTCAGTTCCCTCTGTCAGCCGGTGGTGTGATTTCTGTGTGAACGATGTGATTAAACTTTTCCACAAAAACCCAAAGGATGTGACAATTATTCTACACCCTGCGTAGCTCAGTGCCTGCCTTCTAGTGCAAGTGTCAAGAGCAGAAAACAACAGCTTAGAACATAAGTCAACTAATAAGCCCTGTCATACACTGCAGGATGAAACATAAGGTTGGCTAGCTACCTGGTGTTGGTATCAAGTTGTCCATGTTAGCTGATGAGCTGAAATTAGCCAGAACACAGTTTTATTTAAGTTGGATGGTCTGGAGATGGAAGTGGAAATTTGACTCTCTGGGGAAACTGTGGTGGACTTCAGGATGTTTGGTTTTCAGAGTCACGGACAAACTGCAAACAGCAGGGTCTGCTAATTAATCGAATAACTTAGCTGGACATTTTAAAACGACTTTATCTGCTAATGTTACCAAAACTGAGTATGGCTAATCACATCTTGCTTGTCAGTGAAAATCATATCTGAATGAAAATGCTAGTTGGTTAGCTTGCCCAGCTAAAGTGATCATTGATTATAAAGTGTCACATGGTACTGATTTTAGTAAATCATGCAATGGCAAAGATATCTATGAGTAATATTTACTTTATAAAAAATATGGTTTTCTTCTCAACATGGAGGTGGTTAGCAAGCTATCTGCAATTTAGCTTTGATGTCTTTATGTTGATACGCAGTGTTTATACCGGTCTCCTGGTTTCTGTTCAAGATACAAGAAATACAGCACATACAACAGAACAACATTTTTTTTACAGGACAGTGTTGACTGGCGAAAGTACAAGCTGAGCATGAAACTGAGCTATAGCCTACTGATCACCTGGGTGGAGGTGTCAGTAATAACAGTGGTTTTCTAAGGTTGCACAGAGCTCCTTAAGGTAATGGGCCATTTACTTCAAATCAAGCCCCTGAGCCTAAGATTAATACCCAGCAATGACTTAAGAGACATTTTTTCTCACAAATTCCTTCCTTTCTACTAGTATTGCTCATTTCCCCTTGAAAGCCTTTCTCCATTTGACCATTCTAGTGTATCATTCTTTTCTTTGCTCTCTTAATCTCCATCTCTCTTTTAGAAGAGTCACATAGGAGTGTGTGTATATGTGTGTGTGTTGGTAGTTCTGGAGATGGGCCACGCTGCAGACATATTCTGCACCTCAGCTGGGGCTCAGATTTGGCTGAAGCTATCGCGTCGCTGTTAGCCTGCTCGCTCATGCACTGCCAGGTGCTAAAGAGGGGGGGAGAGAGAGATGGGGTGAGGAAAGAAGAAGAAAAGTAGAGAGGCAGTGATTAAACAATGGTGTGGTGTGTATCCTGACAACTTAAAGACAGCCACTTGACGTAAAGAGACTGATGATCCCATTGAGTAGCACCAAACATGTGAATGCTATTGTGGGAAGGTGCTGTCGATTTCCCCTCTTTCCTTTTCATGTGCACCAGTGCAGTTGCTTGTCTAGCGTGAGTGATCTGTTCTTTGGTCTTTTTTTAATATTCTGACTCTGAGTGCATCAAGCAGGTGGCCAAACCACAACTCGGCAAGGCAGGGCTGAACACACACTCAGCATGAGCTTGGCTTTCTATCACAGCGCACAGAGAGCCGAGTGGAAGCCTAACTGAGCAACTGTTTTACACCTCAGGCCTGATTTAGACTTCTGTGGTGAATCTTTGTAGCGCCTACAATGTAACCTACGTAAGTGGCCGACTTCTTGCCGGCATTTATGCTTGTGCTGGTGCGTTATGTGCTAGTTAGCATGTGGTTGCGTCCTTTGTTTTATATGCGGTGCCAGCGGATAGAAACCAATAAAATGATGGGCCCTCACGCTTTGTTGTGTTCTTTTTTGTTGTTTGCTTCTTTTCTGGGTAAACTATATTGGTTCCTCGAGTCTTTCCACTTTCATATTTTGGCTGTGTACAGTACTGTGCAAAAAGTTTGAGCCAGCTGTCATTTCTTTATATTTTGATTCTGCAAAGCCAAACTTCCCTGTCCTTTTAACCTCTTAAACCCCAAGCCTAACTGATCTCCTGCCTTTTGCCCCCGTGTCAGGGGGCGTTGGGGCTTAAGAGGTTGTCTTGAGTGATGGGTCCTCAGGTTATCTGAAAATGTTTTAAAGCTTTTCTTTGAACATTTTCATTCCGGTCCTTGTACCTGACCATTTTCAGAGGATTTTCATTTTTAATTCTTGTGTTTTAAATCGCTTAATGCTGACCTACGAATTAGTATCACAAAAGTCATTTAACAAAGGGATGAGCCAGCGTTGTGTCTACACAGACAATTTAGCAAATAAACAATTTTAAAAGTATCTTCTGTCACTTTATTTTGTCTTTTGTCAAATAGTTTGATAGACATAAAATAGCAGTAGTAGGCGATTTGGAAAGAGCTGTTAGCTGAAAACTTGTTGGCATCTCATCTCATCATGCTTAAAAATATACATCAGATAAACAGTATCTGAAAGGCCCGTTCTTAAGGAACAGGAAAAAGTCCAGTAAAAAAATAAAACTGACACAAGACCTGAGCGATGCATCTGGCACTCCAGTTGATCCAACTTCAGTTTGATGACCATCAGAAATGGTCTCAAGAAGGCAAGAAGGAAGGGAAACAGGGAAAATGTACTTATAATAACTTTATTTATATAGAACTTTTAAAAACACAGTTACAAAGGGCTTCATAGTTTGGATAAAAATGCATTAAAGTTAAGTGCACATGCACACCGTCGCTTTCATTCCTGCATACACAGTCCTATACACGCATAGCAGAAGAACAAAAGGCCACAAATAGACAGCAAAAGATTAAGTAGAAGCTAAACTATAGAAATGAGATTGCAGCAGCAACCCCAGATTCAGCCAACCTGAGCTACAACCACAAAATCGTGATTACCTTTAAAATTAGAGCAACAGTTAGGAGACCCCGATCAGATGAGGTTGGCTGCAGTTATCATGTCTCAGTAGCTCTGCTTTATACGCAGGAGCCCGGTCATGAAGGGCTTTATATGTTGTTAGTAACATTCTTAAATGGATTCTGAATGCCGGCTAGTTTTTGTTTTGTTGCATTATGTACCAACTGAAGACGGGCTGAGGAGGCTGAGAAATGCATGTGAAAAGTGAGCAGCAATAATCAAGACAGAAGAAAATTGTGTGTGTACAAGAAGTTCCACATTATTTGGAGGCAATTAAGGTTTGATTTTTCAAATGAATGAAAGAAACAAGACTGGATGAGGTATGCCAGATTACACAGCGAACTGGAGTAAAAAAAAATCAGTGGCACCAGGTCTTATAGAGATGGATCATCAGAGGATTTGTATGAACAAGAGAGGAGGACAACAGCGAATGTCTGCAGCCATCTGTAAAACATGGCTTGGGGCCAGTAGTGTTGGGGATCTTGTCAACAGTGATGGAATTATGAACGCAGAGCCCAGGCCTCAACATTATTGAAACAGTGTGGGATCACCTTGACAGAAAACAGAACAAAAGGCAGAAACATCCAAAGAACAGCGTTGACTGACCTTCAAAAAGTTGAAAATAAGAAATAATGAAAGCTTTAAAGGTGGTCATAAAAGTGGTCATACAAAACACTGACTTTGTGTGTTTTTGCCTTCTATACTCTGTGTATTGTTAAACATTTTTCCGGTTTTCCTAGGAACAAAGAAATATGGGGCAGCTCAAGCTCAAGCAGTACTGTATGACTAGAAAAAAAAGCTCTCTCTGCTGTCTGCAGTCCAGGTGTTGAGTAATATTCTGGTAGCAAACTCCTCCATTGTAAATTTGAACTTACACCATCACTATGCTAATTCCACAAATAAAGTTGAGTTTACAAGGTGCGAAGAGCACAACTCAGCCAGTGGAAGCAGTTGTATAATGTCCTCTGTGGATCTGAGGGGAGAAGAAAAATAAACCTGGGGATTTCATTATGGTTATCTTGGCACTGTGCAGCGTGCAAAGAAATAGGATTGGGTTTGTTTTTGAATGACTTTCCTGCTTAGATGCTAACGCAACTCTTGTCTGAGCATCTGTCTCAACTTATTAGCAAAAAACATGATGAAAACACACAGTGTGTGGTTTCCTGCCAGTGCTGAACTGCTGCTTTCTCGGGTTAATGTAAGTAACATCAGCAGTTGTGACCTGTTTCACCGGAGCTAAAGAAAACCATCGAAAAAGCAAAATTCATAACAGCCATTTTGGAATAAAACTGTAGATAAACACAGCTGCTGCTAATGACATTAATGAAAGCTGTGCTGTGTTGACAGAGCTTTGATCAGTGTGATCAGGAACACCTGCACTTACGCTTGAAATGCACTTTGCATTTTTCTTCACGTCTTAGCTCCACTTAAACTTTAGTCTGCTAAAGATATTTTAATTGTGAAGGAAAAAAGCAATATTTCACACACTGATGTGGTTATTTATTGTACTTTTTTGTGCACAAACATAAAAATTGTACTGTTTTGTTTTTTTGCAGCGCAGTAAAAATGAGTGAAAAATTGTTCAAGATGTTGATTTTTTTCCCCTCTTTGTTCTCTGCTTATTTTCACCCCTGCTGGGTTTTTGGTGTTGATGTGTGAGTATACTGTACATTGTCATTTATGTGACACTAAACCAACTATAGGGTTCAGTTATTCAAAGAAATGTAGAAAGCCATCTGATAAATGGATTTATCAGAAATTGCCTTTGATTTGTGTTCAAAAACACAGAACACACTTACCAGTTATTACCAGTGTAAAACTAGTTCTTTACCTTGAGTTTTATTTAAGCCTCTAAAGCCTGAAAATTTCCAGAAAATTCCTTTCTTTCAAACTAGTGTTTGTCGACCCTTCTGACAAATTTGCACGTATAAGATTTAATTTGTATCATTTTTGCTACGTCCAGGATTTTTGTGCAATTTATTTTTCATAGTTTGTTTATCTTAAACCAAAAAAAAAAAAACATATTAGAGGGTTATAGTTCTTAAAAACTGATGCATCAAATCTGATATACTTGGCATTACAGGGTTAATTATAATTTAAATACATTAAAAAAATAAAAATAAATTCCAAGGTTAAAAACAAATTTTTTATAATTAAGGTTCCAACTAACTATTACTTCCACTGCTGATTAATCAATGTGTTGTTCAGTAAATTAAATATCAGAGCACAGGAGAGTCTGAGGTGACCTAAGGCTATAAAATCAAGCTTTCATATGAGAAACTGAACTGAATGTGTTATTCCTCTTAAGTATTACTGCCCTCACAACCCAAGCACAATGGGGCAGAAGAGAGAGTTTCACCAAAACGTTTAACATGGAGTGAGTTCTTCGGTTATGTGTCTTGTGTGAACAAGTGCTGTGCAAGTAAACCAAAAAAATAATGGTGACGACGTTCAGTCAAAACAAAAAATCTGGAGGTCAGCGAGCAGCTGAGTCCGTAGGCCCAAATTGTATATCTGCAGATGAGCAACCCAGGTGTCAGCCATTACTCCCAGGGAGCCATTCCACACATCCAAGCAACGACAAAAAACAGGAAGTGGATCTAGAGACCTTCTAAAGGCCAAGATGACACTTCAGCCTGTAAAGTATTAAAACAAACTCTATAACATATTAAATGCATGAAAAAAATATTCTTGCTGTAAGAGACTACAGTAAGCAAACAAAATGCCTTAGACCCCCCCCACACACAGACAAAAAAAAGAAAATATTTCACATGCCCCATGCATCTGAATGGATCAGTCACACAAGCTATCCATTTGACGACAGCACAGATTACTGTGTCGACTCTCTGGATTTTGTCTTTAGGACATATGGGACTTCCTCACGGGAATCACAAATATTTCAGTGCAGGGTTGCAGAAAACTCATCCTTCATTTCTGAGTATCTTAGTTCTTAACATAATTACATCTGTCTAAACTTGGACACCAACACTGCTGCAGACATGCTAGTTAATGACAAAGTTTTAATGCTTTTATTTTGAAATTTTGGTTATTAATTACTTTTATTTTAAAAGACAAATGCTTACATTCTTTATGTCACACTGTAATTACATTGTTACCTAACAGATCCACATGCATTTAGCAACCCCGGCTCAAATAAAGTCCAATGCTGCTCAGTTTTAGTCTGAAAATCCAAGCAGTGACTTTTTTAAGTAAAACAGCAGCTGTTGTTGGAAACACTGAAGTAATTTCAGCCAAAATAAGCACCATTATTCCTAATTACAAAAGTACTTGAGTTTAGAGCATAAAACCTCAAATTCAAATTAAAAACTGCCAACAAAAAAACCAAAGTAGGAAAAAGTAACCACAGCGCCTGTCACTAAAACACAACAGACAGATGAATGCAAGGTTCATGTCATATTGGAGTTTTCATAATTAATCACAGCTAACTTTTTATCGTGAGAATTATTACACAACTAACACACATCCAGCTCCAGTACTTTTGCACTCCACCTTCAGTTTTTTATTGTCGTGTCCTATTTAATTTAATTCCATTTTATTTTATTTCTTTATATAGCACCAAATTACAACAACAGTCAGTTCGATGTGCTTTATATTTGCACTGCTGACATTTCTCCTATATGTATAGAATTACATGTATATAACACCCATCGGACCAGGGGCACGTCCAGAGGGGGCCACAAGGTGGTACAAGCCCTTTTGAAAATATATAATACTTGTATATTATATAATTTTAAATAATAATAATATTTATAATAATAATAAATACAAAGCTAGTCTTGTATTTAGTAATATTTAATCATTTACAATATAGTTCAAAGGAAATTTACAATTTGTTGCAAAATTACATACTACTACTACCGCAAATGAAATTTCAATGATGATAATAATAATAATAATAATAATAATAATAATAATAATAATAATAATAATAATAATAATAGGGAAAATGATCCTGACATGTTGCATCTAAAATAATAATTTCTTTTTTTCTGTAGAACGATCCCTCCGACAGCAGTATATTGTCACTAGATTCTGTTATTAGTGATGTTTTATTTTCCACTATAATAAAACATAATCATACATAAAAATAGAAGAAAACTGATAAAGGTGCAAATTAATAAAAAATGTATACTGTACATCTTGAAAATTTGCAATATAAATTAACTAACTTTTTAAATTAGTTTTCTTTGGGAAAGTTTTGAGTTATCAGAATCTCCTCCAATAACCTTTTCTTGAAATTGAGCCTCTAAATGTTCCTCAAGGAACCTCCAAAGTGAACAAAGTTGCTTGAATGAGCCCATGATGACTGCTTAGTAATGGTTTATATCACTTTATATCACTTTTAACAGGAAGAAACCTCCAAACTAACCAGGCTCAGAGAGGGGTGGCCATCAACCGATGAGAATGGAAATATACAGAAGTACAAACTGAGTCGTTTAAAATTGTGTACGTTCACCCGATAATAGTTCATTATGGCCCTTGAACAGTGCTGTGTCAGTACTGAAGCTTGCATAGGTTTATTTAATGTAGCGGCTCATGAGTAAAAGGAGGAAAGGTGCAGACAGAGAGGAGGCTAAAGTTTGATAGCCTGATCCTTTGCCAGGACAAAGACAAATGGTCTTAAAGTGGCGACAACACTCTTCATATGTATGTGTGTGTGTGTGTGTGTGTGTGTGTGTGTGTGTGTGTGTCACCCATACATGGCCCCAGACAGGCCTTTATCAAAGTGGGTACACGGGTGGCGACACACAGCAGCTGGCAGAAGGACATGACACAGGAGTCAGTTTAGGGAGGCGACAGGAATTCAGTGACCTACAGAGGAATGCCGGTCGGACAGTCACAACACTAATCAGGCTGGTGATGTGTATGTGCATGTGTGTGTGCTGATTGGTTAAACTGGGGAAAGGTTTCATATGCTGGCTTTGTTCCCTCTAAACAGCACAGAAAAAAGTGGCCAAGCACGCACACATAAACACACACAGAGCCCAAACATCTTTTTACTCCCCTTAAAGAGCCTGAAGGTCAACGAAAAATGCTTATCTGTATTTTTCATAACATCGCCTTTTCGCCTACTTCTTTTTTCCAGATGGTGTTGCTGGCGCGCTGCGAGGGCCACTGCAGCCACACGACCCGCTCCGACCCCCTCATCTCATTCAGCTCAGTGCTCAAACAGCCCTTCAAGAGCACCTGCTCCTGCTGCCGGCCGCACACCTCCAAGCTGAAGGCGGTGAGGCTGCGCTGCACTGGCGGGACTCGCATTACGGCCACTTACAGATACATCCTCGCCTGCAACTGCGAGGAGTGCAGCTGAGCAGACAGCAGCACCCTCCCAGACCCTCAAGACTCTCAAGAGCCGGCATTTTTCTTGGCCACAGACCTTCCTCTCAAGCTGTCCAAAGCATTTTGGTTGATTATTGGATCAGAAAACGGCCCCAGAGATACTGGTTGTTAACTTGTGAGTGATAGTTTGGAGCAGTCAGATCAGCCTCACGTGGGCCTTAAAATTGACCTACAGCCCTTGGGAATCAGACAGAACATACTATACCCTTTCTATTATGTGCATTCAATCAGAACAAACAATGCAAAGCATATTTCTTCAGCTCACAAGGCCAGACACCACAAACTGCAGCTCCCAGGAGCCCGCTGGAGACCCTCCTCGCTGCAGAGACACACTGCACTCATTATAAGCCTCCGTAATTCATAACACACACGCTCAAGAACCACAGAATGAGAGCTCATTGCAAATATCTGTAACAGCCTTCTCCCTGCTCCATAAAAAGAAGAAGAAAAAAAAGAAAAGAAGCGTTTGACGACTAAACAAAATGCCTCGTTAAAAAGCAGCATGGGAAAGGACAAGCGGGTCCGCGTGAGCCCTGACATGTGCTGGATCTACAGTGGAGCACCTGCGTCGTGCTTACTCACCCAGTAACATTTTACACACTCCCTGCAGACTTTCATCTAGCTGTGTAAAACATGACTGATGCTGACAGGAGAGCTCATCGAATGAACAGTAGAAAAAAAAAAGAAGAAAAAAAAAGAGTAGCATAAGAGGAGCCCAGAGGATGCAAGAAGACCACTGATGAAGGTTTTAGCAGCCTCTGGGTCAGCGGCGTGGACTGTCAATAGACTGCCAAGGGTATCAGTGCTCATTTAAAGTATAACCTGTTCTACTTGGATCTTTGTGATGTTCACGTTGACGTTATTGTAACTGCCGCTACTATCACGCCGGATTGATTAAACTTGCCGCTATTGCCTGTAACGTATTGTTAGTAATGACATGTCCTGTGTCCAACATGATGAATACAGAACTTCACACTCACTATTCATACTCTATGTGTGCATTTGTGTATGTGTGTGTGCGCCGCAGGCTCATTTGCAAAACTTGTGGTCACTTTATTTGAATTGGAAAAACTGTGTTCAAATTGAGCTTTTTCCATCATTAAGGCTTCAGTTTTTTTCAAACCACAAAGAATTGAGAGCTCACTTTGAGGATTTGAGCTGAAATAAGGGGTGGTTGGAAGCACATAAAGGCCATGGTAGCTTGAATTTTAAATGTTTCATTCTAAATGCACAGCAGTTATCTTCACTGCTTTGGAGTATGCTAATTTATGTCATACATGTTCATTTAAATCCTGTGTGTCTGGCATATACAGCAGGACGTCCTTTCTTTCTTCTTGTTTTGGCTGCTCCCTTTAGAGGGTCACTCCAGCACAACATCTGCCTTCATTCTATCCCTGCATCCTCCTCTGTCACACCAACCCTCTGCATGTCCTCCTTCTTTACGACCATCTTCTCCATCTTCAACATCCTTTGTCCAATATAAAGTATCTACCATCCCTTCTCTGCACATGTCCAAACCATTTCAATCTCACCCGTCTAACTCTGCCTCCTGAGTTGTCCCTCCGATGTACTCATTTCTAATCTTGTTTATCTTGATCATTCCTAATAAACATCTTCACCTGCTTCACCTGCAACTGTGGCTATCCAAAATCCAAATCTCCAAATCATACATCATAGCAGGTCTCATTACAATCTTGTAAACCTTCCTTTTCACTCTTGCTGCTATGCTTCTGTCACATATCCAGTGTTGGGGAGTAACGGAA